TTCGCTGCCAAGGACGAGTATACTCGTCTTTGGCAGGGTGTCACGCATTGCCAGGACGAGTATACTCGTCCTGCTTTAAATATATTATAACATGCAGGCTCTTTTGAAGGCCCATTGCCAACGACGAGTATACTCGTCTTTGGTTTTCTGCTTCTAAATGATTATGTATGATAATATATGTGCTCTTACCAAGAAATAACAGGGTTTTGGTAAACAATAGCACTCAAAATATAAATGGCAATAGGAATGACTTCATATAATTTAGGCTTGGCAGCGAATGGGTTAAACATGCTTGTCAACAATTTTTCATAGGTGCGACGAAGGGTTCGACGAACTTAGAGCCAGACTGGACGGGAAGATTCATGACGTTCTCCGTATGCAATTCCAGAACTTGTTAGCCGCGACCAAGTGGAATAGGTCTGTCTTTGCAGCGACGGGCCTCCCGAGGATCCAGCCAATCAGGATCTTTATAATTAAGTTTTCCGTCTAATCTCCGCGATGGCCGATTAACCTCCGCGGCTGCCATAAACATGGCAATAGTACAATTTCTGGAATTAAGCCAGGCTGACCCCAGGTATCGTTGCCGCGGCTCGCTGATGGAAACGGCAAATCTCCCGGGGATTTCCGACAAGGATCAGGATGTTTCTCTTTTCCCGCATTTCTTTTCTTTGCATCCGGCTTTATCCGCGTCCCTCTCGACGTGGAAGACGTATCGAGAGGGAATCCCTCCTTGCGAAAGCTGCCGGCATTTCCGATAATCGCGGCGTTCCTCTCCTGCCGGATCGCCGTCCTCCCACCGAATTACTCTCACATCGCGCGTTGCAAAAGTGACACGACTCAAAAACGTAATTTCGAAGTTATCACTACGAAAACAGTGCGAGAACTACTTATATACCACGTGAAAAATGATACCACACTTATTTAAATCGTTCCATCCTCGCGGTTAATACAATAATAAATGTATACATATACAATAATAAATAATACAATGTAAAATTTGGAAAATAGAATATGAATAATAAACTGATTATAACAATCATAGTTCATATACATATGATATTCAATTATATTCGTTATATTGTTAATCTATCCGATTGAAATTCCCTGGGCTCCAATGAATAATTCATCGCTGCATGAATAATCATCTATAAATCGATGTTAACGCAGGGATAATCGTTTGTACACAAAAATAATTGCCCGTTCGATCTTTTATCAAGTGTCGTTTATAATATTCGATCAACGATGGTTTCTTCGAAAGGAAAAAATATTGGTTACGTGTGTCGTTCGAATTCTCGCGACATTTTGCACAATCCAATATCGGTTCCGAAATCCAACAAGAGTGCCACTCGACGCGATCCGATTCGATTGAAAAGGAGGCCCCCGGCATGCTTGTGAACGTTACTTTCATAAGTGTCATCTGTCCCCATTGTTCCTCGGCATTGTTTTTGATCAAACCGCGTTTACAAGGGGCGCATATGCATGAAACGGGTCATTGGTTCTTCGTCGACGACGTAACGAAATTAACGAGATGCTCCGGGTAAAATTGATCAACGAGCTACTTGATTTTTGGGGTGAAGCACGAGGTTCGATTCGTGTTAAGTAAATCACATTAATTTGTTATTCAAATCTAGGCCTGGCCCAGATCGTTTCTGAGGTATTTTTTGTGTCAACCGATTCCGTTCGCGTCAACGGCGAGAGTCCAATTCCCGAGGTTTCCATACATTTTAGATACGAATTTAAGCAAATCTGTGAAACAGTTCTTAATCTCGTATGAAATAAGTATATTTTGAGGCGGAGTATTTCGAGTGAGGACTGAATCGTTAAAGCAGAATCTGAAATTAAATGGATAGAGATTCAAGTGCCATGAACGGTTACACGGTTATATCATCGGCTTCTAAATTAATTCTTATGAATTATTGGTAAGCCATCGAGTTAAAGTGATAGGTAACGAGATTATGCAACAGTTTATTTCCGACTAACAGCAGATTTTAATGAATTCGATATTTCCATCTTGTCTCACGGTGCACTATTTTCTCCATTATGAAGGGAATAATTAATAATTCGACGGAAGTTATTTTTGTTAGGCAAAACTGATAACCTATTTCTGAGACGAGCCGATCAGCTTAAATGGTAGCGAAAACGAAACCCAGTTCCCCAGTCGCACAAAGGGTTACGTGCATCCGTAATCGAATATCAAACTTGGAGGAAACTTAAACGTAGTTGAACCCTATCTCCTTCGTTACCAGACAATATGTAACTGTGTCGCGGACCGGAGATCCTAAATTGATTTCGGCAGATCATTTTTGATTTTCTCGACACAATTACGTTAACGTCGCGCAAAATTCAAACGAGTGTAACAACGTTAGCGAATGAATTATTCCGGGGAAATTGATTGGCCTTCGCGCCGCTGCCACCTCCGCAGGAAGATTGATAGTCCGTCTAGCGCGACGAGCGCGCGACTATAGCGACCGATTACTCTCCGGTCGACAGTTCATTAAACCTCATAGGAATAAAACAAAAAAGGATTTAAGAGGCATCTCTCCTTTTTCCGAGGTATCTTCGACAATTTCTTCGGGCCATTAAAGGTTCCATTATAAGCGTCGCCAATCGCAAGCGGCGACGCTGCGATTCGAAGATTACCGGAGCGATAGTGCGTAGTAGAAATTCCGCGGAGGCGCGCCACGTCTCGAGAATAATGAGCGGCTCTCCCGTGGGGACGTCGAATTTTTAATTCGAGCCGCGAAACTCTCTCGCTTATCGTCGGGCGTGCGAAACTTTCGAGGGAATCGTCGTCGTCGTCGTCGTCGTCGTCGTCGTCGTCGTCGTCGTCGTCGTCGTCGTCGTCGTCGTCGTCGTCGTCGTCGTCGTCGTCGTCGTCGTCGTCGTCGTCGTCGTCGTCGTCGTCGTCGTCGTCGTCTCCAGGACACGGCATTGTGAGAAGAGTTTCTCGTCAAAACGGTGCTTGATTCCCTCGAAGATTAATAATCCGCGGACGAAATGATTGCGAGCCGTCGCGTCGCTTCGCCGGGGCGAAGAACGAAGTTTGTCCGAACTTTATTATAAAACTAATATTTTCCAAGTTCTATGAGGTATTACGATAGTTTTCTGAAAGGGCCTGCCAGCCAGAGCGGCAAAGCGAAATGGTTCGCGGGCGGAACTTCAATATTCGGCGACCATAACGACACCCGGCTGATATATTATTTCCTATAACTTCTCTTCCTTCCACCGCGGCTTTGTATGGCCCGCGAATAAGAAGATCGAGAAAGAAACTTGATTAAGAATCCCCCTTTACCGCCGTCTGCCCATTTTCATATCCGTTCCATCCTCTCCTTGCTTACGACTGTCAGTTTAATGATGTTACGTCTAATAATAGGACAATCGTGCGAATACGAATTGATAACAAATTTCGTTTGAATTTAAAGGAATAGCTGCTGGCCTCTCAATTTCGCGGTATCGATCGAATCGCCGTATTAAATATTATTATTAATGGCATCGACTTGAAACGAATGAAAGGAAGTATCGATAAACGATCTCCATGGAACGAGAAAGACGGCGTTGAAAACGGCAGGGAAAGCGGATTTCGTCGGGAATCTTATTAGAAGACTGATTTACGAGCCGGTGTAATTTAAAACTATTTACAAAGCGTTACGGTGAAAGACCGTCGGCCATTACATCGGGCAGGGTAAAAAAGTGGTAGAGAGATGAAAATTGAGGATCTGCTTTCCTCAGCTCCCATTGTCTTCCTTCCTCAAAGACTCAAACTAATTTTCTTCCTCGCCCAACCTTCCGCTGCCACGATCTGCCTCCCGTTCCCTGTCGTCTACTCCCTTTCTTTTCCCCGTCCTCCGTCTCCTCGCCGACCGAGTTCTTGCACCTAAATTCGCCGCCTTCATTTGGCGCACAATAAAAAACACGCCTGAACGACGAGCGCAGTTTAATAACGCGTCCCGCGACATCATAATGAACACGGGGGAATTCATAAATAGCTCGATGCTAAATCCCATTTTGTTTTCATCCCCCCCCCGGGGACCGAGCGCGGCTAGCATTTTTTAAACCGACGCGCAAACGAGATCAGGAAAGTGCACGCGTCAACTGATTGGCGAATTCTTGCGAATTCATCGAACCAGCCGACGCAATCGCGAGCGCAGCGCAGCAAATTGAATTAAAAAGGACGTTATTTACAACGCTTGCCTCGTTTCCGATTTACGCGCGGATTGCACGGGAGTTACGGTTACGAGCGAATTCCTTTCTCGCAGTTGGCGCACGCTATCGGCAAAACCGAGCCGGTTAGTTACGAGGGAAAAGTAGCCAAAGAGCAAACAGGGAAAGGCTTGCCGACCACTTTTTTCCTCTGTTTCTTTGGTCAGTCAAACTCCATTCCGATATAACTTTAAAAATATTGATGGCGAATTTCTTCGTGGGAAATCGTCGGAGAAATGGAAGAGTCTTACGTGAAGGAAACGGAGGAAGTAGAGCGAAGAGGAGAATGGGGGGGGGGGGGAGATAACGGGGACCGGCAGAAGCGAGGGAGAACAAAGGGTGCTTATCGACACCGCAGTTCTTATCCCTAGTAACTCCTTTTATTTTATCCGTTTGCGTTACTCCGGCTACGAAGCTGAAGCCTCCGACTCTTACCCTTGTATCTGAGAGATAATCAGACTCTGAGACACACTCGAATACAGACGGCCGTTCCTCGTTTCATCGAACAAAACTCAAATATTACTACAGAATTAAATGCGACTACACGTAATATTTTTAATTCGTCAGATCAATTCAGTCTCAGATTGAAATAAATTCTTATGCATTTGCGACAGACATAAGTATGTTGAAACGTGAGCACAAAAAATTTGAATGCATCTTCTTTAATTCTTATTTTGTACGAAAATCCGCAGTTCGGTTATATATTTTTGCAGTCACTGTTTCAACATTGACTTACGCAAACCATAGGGCGACAACCGATGAACACCGTTAAGGGTAAAATCAATATTTAAAGAACTCACTGGGTTTCGATGACGTAGTGCAGGACAGGATTGTTATGAGAATTACGGCTGGCCGCCCAGGACAGGTGCATCGACCTCGACGTGAAGCTCAATATGAGTGGCCTGTCCGGTGGATCGGGAACGTCTGAAAATAGATTTCCAAGTTTCGTTTCATTGAAACAGTTTTAAAAGCACGGCAATTTTCACCGTGTAAACATTATTTTATCTATCTTTAATTGTACAAGCCCATCCCGCTTGTAAACCGTTACTCCGTTTTTCAATGAATACCAGAAACATACGCGATTGTAGGCAAGCTTTTAAAGCGAAACGCTCAGTTAAGAAGATAGGGAAACTTTTAAAACGTTACACCGTTCGTTTCCCGGGAAATTACCCAAAATTCAGAAACTTGGAGCGCTACGTCGCTTCCATTTCTCGTCTCGCGTATCCTTCGAACGGAGTTCCGGGGATTACCATTCGGATCGTTCGAGGGATGATCCGCTGTGAGAAGGGGTAGCTCGAGCCCTCCCCTTTAACCCCGGCGGGCTAAGGCGTTTTATCACGGTCCAGAGACAAAGAGCACAATCTTTCGAAGGAAGTCCCAGGCTTGAAACAACGCTCGTTGCACTCGGATAAGAGTCGACCGTTTAATATGCGCTGTCATGCAGTCGACGATTCACAAAATCGTAAACGAGCACGAATGATCAACTATTCTATGATTGTTCAAACGTCCTCCAATGAAAACTGATCAACGAACTACGAATTTCTGTGCATTTATGATGGCAGTTCCAAAAATGTATGTTTTTTTACAACTTGAAAATTGCAATATGCACCTCCTGACTTCATTTCATTTCTTCGGGATTACATTTCACGATTTTTTATATTAAGTTTCTTTTTACAAGAACTGATTGATCCAGTAGTGTGGGTTGACAGTAATACCATTAGGGATCGAAAATAGAGCAGAAATAATCAACTGGGAAGAAGGAAACTTGTGCTGTTGGCCCACGGGAAATCAATAGAAACGTCATTAAATTATTCCATTAACCCTGGAAGAAGAAATCGTCTTTGACTTACGTGTCGAATAGAATTGCACATTCGTTGCTTTCCCTAGAATCGTTTAAGGTGGTTCTATTCAAATTCTGAAGTCAAGTGAATATTGGATACTAAGAATTACCAAAATCTTAGTTTAACATTCATTATTATAGTTTATAAAATTAAATTATGCATTTTTAAACAAATTACAGTAATTATATATAAGAAGTAAGAATATTTTATATCATTGAATAATTATACGAATGTACACACGATTCACGTTGTTATTTAAACTTTATTATTTTAAAAGCTTGTTCGGTAAAATTGACATTTAATCGTATGTTAAAATCTGAAGAATGACGTACTACAATTTGATTACGATCTGGAGTATCACGTATTTTAATAGAACCATCTTAAAGAATTGAAGGGAGGCGAAAATAATCGCTGGACAGGGACGGGTCATCGGTTTCAGTCTTATGGACCGAACGGGACGTGATCGAATCACCCTCGACTTACTGACTGCCCTCACGACCCTGTCAACTATCCCGCTTCCCGCTTTCCCTACTCGAAATCTATCACTGTGTCCATCCATTTTCCGCATAATTGTTGAATATCGTATCAATCATTAGATGAAACATTATGTCCATTATATATATAAATTATCGTAATAAGCACTATAGGAAATTTAATACCAATTTGCATATGAATTATTGCATCGATGATTAAACATACAAAAATATTCTATTAAGCATTAGAATTATTGTATGAATTAATTCCTATTATCATGTTTATAGCCGGCAGTGTATAATGCAAATGGGTTAAAGGAAAAATCAACAGATCCTCTGGTGGATTTCGAATTTCTTCGGTCCGTACGATACACATTGTTTCGCAACTTCAATATTTAAGCCAGGGAACGTATTATGTTAGAACAAAGAAGGAATTATTTGTAAACTTGAGATATTATTATCTTCCAGCAGGTAACGTCCGCGTCGCAAACGAGGAGAACTTTTAATGAAACAATCTTGCAAACGTCTCGTAATCTTGAAACATTAAACGAGGCGAAGGTAAGTCCGATTAACGTCGAAGAAACGAAAGGTCGCCGGAGGTTCGTCGGGTCAGGAGATTAATTTAAATTGGAGCTTTAATTGACAGAACGTCCGGCGGCGCAAACGAAGTGAACTTAGCGATATGATTGTACTATGCACCCGTAATGCATAAATTACCACGGGCAATACCTCGGGCTTTGAGGACTATTTTTCTCAATTAAACTCGGCATTACCGGCACTAGTGGACCTTGTCTTCTGGTAACGAGGCATTCGCGGACGCTTGATACCGGAAGTTATATAGGTTACGCTGCATGCCGACGTAAACTGCACACAGAGGGACACCTCTGCCGTACGCGGAATATAAATTCCGCCGAGGCCGTTTACCCAAATTTATGACCGTCATTTTAAGAACTGTTTCGCCATGCCCGACCATATGGCTACCACGTAAATATCTCTCACTCGGCTTTGTCGTCGAATCGTGTTCTTCAATTTAATGCTCACCACTTCTGATCCGATGTTTCGTACAACAACGGCGGACAAAACATTCTCTCATGTTTGGACGTCCCGTCCGTAATGCGTGCAAACATTATGGAAGAACTGTTTCAGAGATCACATGGCTTCCCCGTAGTACAATATCTTTCATTCAACTCCACCGTCAAATCGTTTGATTTAATGCTTTCCACTTCTGATCAAACACGATAGAACAACGTTTCTCATCACTGAATCGGTTAACAGTATTTGCAATACGTGCAAACACAGTGGATTCACGTTCAATATTGATCCTTATACGCATCAATCCCACTCAACTCCGTATCGGTATTTTTATCGCGGCCCTTAGCAATCAATTTTTCTTCTCATACACGCGATGAGCTTTTCCTCAAGCATCTACCTCATCGGGTAAAGTAACACCGGGTTCGAGCGAGCCTTATTGGAACCATTACCGTGCTATCCGAGTGATATTGATTACACGGTTACAATACATTTCCCGTTAACTTTTCCCGCAAACGTTTGCATTCATTCAACCGTTAATTGATAGTGTAACATATTTTTCATTAATGGACGAGTCGATTGATATTGTTTCAAATTTAAATGATCTCTCGGGTTTCATTCAATATTTACTTTCCGTTTACGATTGTTTACGAAAACGTGATTTAAAGCTTTTCACGGTTTAAAAAATAGGGATGGAATTTCGCGACTAACGTTGAATCGACTTCTTTCCTTATTGGGGCAAAGAAACATCAACGAAGCAGCATCGTTTCTTGTTGGGAAACGAACGGAGGATAAACTTTCAAGAATAAACTGTCTCCTAAGGTTTCATCCACTCGATGTTGCGCATTGCCCGCTATCGGAAACACAAACTGTTGTTTTAGATTGAACGTTCGGCTAAACGCGAACCAGTCACCCGGAGAACAGAAAGTTTCCAGTTTCAAACGATTTTCTCGTATTATTCGTAAAAATACAATTCTTAAACGCGACGCAGCGAGAAACGCGCGCATCTTGACGCATTGAATTCATCGACGAGTTTATGTTTGTCAAAACAAAAAATTAATGATACGATCGTCAAGTCACGCCAATTAAAGTTCACGAGCATAAATGAATGTATTCTTTGGTCTCCTGATTTAGAGGGTTCTAACGCCTCCCTACAATTTTCACATCACTTACGAATCTATTGAAATTGCTTTACGAATATTTGAAATGTAACAAAGTACTGT